AAAAAAAAGAAAAGCAACAACAGATATACTCTTGGCAATAACAAGGCAAGGATACAAGTTCCCTCCGTTTCTCTTTCCTATTCTTCCATTAGTCTCAAAGTATACTTTGCTTCCTTCCTTTCTTTCCTCTTCTACTACGACCTTCTTTAGGTGCTCGGACCACACCACGCCCGCCAGGAGTATCCTCAGCACCTGAATGGTACAAAAAAGAAAGAAAGAACAATAAGGAGAATAGAGGCAGGAATACTGACGGACGTACTCCTCTACACGGACACTTGCACTCACGCACACGCACACACACACAAACACACGGAGGGAGGGAGGGAGGAATAAATATAGGCTGCAAAGGACACACACGCACGCACACATATACTAACAAACGGGGCAGCCCTTTCCTCCCTCCCCCCCACTTCTTTTTCTTTTTCTTTTTCTTCTCCTTCTTCATAAAATCAATAGTAAAAACAACAAGAACAAAAGATCGTCTATCAGGCGATGGGTAAAAAAAAAGCGCTATTTTTTTTTCCATTTTTTTTTTTTTTCTTTACGTCTTTTACTCAATATTTTCGCCGCATTACGTCACGGCGGATAACCTCATTGGTAAGAAGAAGGAGGGCCTTGTGCAGCGCAGCCGCCTGACCCTCCACGGACACACTCTTTTGCTGTTTGTCACTCTGACAGCGAAGGTTCATGCCTGCACCCATCTGCGAAGTGCTGTTGCCTGGGACAGCAGAGAAAGCACCTAATTCCGTGTTGCCCGCGCCGATGCAAGATGCACAATCAATAACGGCACATATGGGAATGTCCCCGCCATACCGTCCAATCGCCTCCCACACAGCACGGGCGCTTTCCACCAATTTACCAGAGAAGGAATCACCGTATGACGCACCAATAGCCGGAGGCACCGCCTCTAAGGATGGCTCTTGCAACATATCCAATGATCGCGGAAATATAGATATCGTTGGGGACGGAACAGAGTTGCCTGACTGGGATGTAGTGCAGGATAACGCGTTTCCATTTCCAAATCCACTACTGACGCCTGAAAAAGCGGGCGTATCCAAAGGAGAGATGGGTTCTCCATCCAGCAAAATAATATAAGCATCTGTGCCAATGGTATGCTGCTGCAATAGTGCCTTGTCAAAGCCGTGCCGATGGGTGACGCCAATCAGCTGAACCCTCACCGATAAACTGGGGGCAGTAGTGCCTGGGGAAAGATGAGTGGGATCAGATGTGTCCAAAGACATCGGCACCTGCAAAGCAATCTTCTTCCGATACTTGGTCGTTGTGCTTGTGGCTGAGAAGCGTCCACGCAGACCCTGCTGACCTATTCCTGTTGTTTCCGTCGCCGTTCTTCCTCCCATAGACACACTGAGTAAATTCTTTTCACTCCCAGAAAGGTCAGAGGCCGAACTCAGTGAAGGACTGAGTGAAGGCGTGGTTTCTTTACTACTTGAGTTACCATGGGTGGACTCGGCCTTGGCCTGAATAGTCAGCTGCCCCAGTGCGTGGAAGAGTTCCCTGAGGTCTGTGCGCTCGCCGCTCTCCACGCCGCCACTGCCTTTCAGCAGTATCACACACACCTTACGTTCGCGGCCTCCGACCAACGACTCGCGTCTGTCACTCGCAGTGCGCCAGTTTATGGAGGGGGCGCCGCTTCTCAGCGTGTCGGATAAGGGGTTGCTGTGCGTCCTCCAGCTCAGTGTCGGCTTGTGTGCGTAGGCATGCGACTCAACATCATCGAAGCACCGCACACACACCCGTTGCGGGGCTGTCTTTGGTGCTGGCGGGAAAAAATTACTAAGGCCCGATTTGGTGAGAAAATGCCTTTCCAGAAACATATCCAGGAGCTTTTCGGATGTCGTCGTGTCAGTCGCAGCAGCCTTCTTTGAAGCCTTCTCGTACCCATTAATCTCTAGCCATCGCAGCAGTATCAGTTCGCCTGGGAGAAACACATCAGAGCAGCTGTAGCAGAATATCCCACCACAAAGCCTACAGTGATGCCTGCGACGAAAAAACTCAAATTTTTTGGCGCAACTATCACACTGCTGGGAGGCACTGTCTGGCTTCCAGGAGGCCAGACGCATGCAAAACAAGTTGCTCGCTTCCCCTACCAGTTACGGCACACACACACACACAGAGAGAGAGAGAGTGATAACAACAACAAAGAAGAAATTCTTCGTCTTTACTTACTATTTATATATATATATATATATATATATATATTCCCTCTTACCTAATTAAAAAAACAAAACAAAACAAAACAAAACAAACAAACAACAAAAAAAAAACAGCCCTCCTTCCTTGCTTTGTTAAAATAACTACGGAACCCTAATTATGCGGCTTCCCTACTACCACCACCAGAGAGACTTCCTCCGACTTACTTTGATTGCTATATTTCTATCTCCTCAATCCAACCAAGTTAGGTAAACACGCACGCACGCACGCAAACTCCGACGCACCACTCCCGTGCCAGTGCGGCCTCGTGTTTAACCACCCGGGACTATCTAATTGCGTTAATAGCACATAAAA